CTTTCGAATATTTTCAAACAGTCGATAAAATCTGCGCATCGACCGGCGTCGTGAAACCGGTAAATATCTCCTGTGCCGTGCAATTAAAGAATTAGTCGAACAGCGTTGCGAAATAACTCGCGAAATTGTTCGCCGACGCGTTTTTTTTTCCTGGTTGCATTTCTAACCGAAGACGATACCCACGGGCAATTATTTCATAACTCGAGACGGAATGTCCGCGGCCCCGCGTAAATATGTGCAATTTCGTGGTTAACGCGTTCGAACGGCGTTCGTCACGTCGGAACGTTCCTCTCGTAAATTAACAAAAGTTTATCGTCCCGTTGAAAAGCCACCACGTAGAGCCGGGCACGCGGCATAGATCTCGATCTAGATCATTTCGCGAAACACTGTCGCGCGCGGGCAATGCCTACGGACAACGGCGGCGATAAATAATCGAGTCGACTCGAAACACGGGAACTATTGTTGGCTAGTTAGCGGAGCAACACAGCCGGTGACTCACGTTTCAGCAATATTTAACATTCCGCGGTGATACGAAAGCAGTTACAGCGCACCGGTCACTTCCTACGCGTCTTGAACCGTCTCGAGGCAGATATAACGATAACCAGTCCACGAAAATTGATTATTCATGTTAAAGTTTTTATCCGACGATATAGTTTTTTCGGAAGCAAAACGTACACCTATATTGGCTGCTTTGATATTTCTTTCTAAAGATTATGTAAACGTGGCTGAAACCTTACGGTCCCAGTGGAATCGGTGAACAATGGCAATCCATAAATTATATATCGAGTAACAGACCGTTGCTACGAATTTCACTCGGTAACATTATGATATTACGTAAATTGGAAGCGTTTCACACGCAGGATTATTGCAAAATTTTTGTAGTAATTGTGTATAGTTCGTTATTTAAATATCGTACTAAATGTGGTTTATTGTTCGTAATGTGTAGTCAGCGTGTTTGTGAACGATCTATATTTTCGGAGTCACTGGTAGGGATAGAGAGGCTCGCGGCCGATTTCGCGAGGAGACCACAAGCCGAGCAGGGAAAGGACTAAAAAGGAAATGCTTCTGTGCCAGGCGAAATTACCGCTATATAGCGTTTATGTTATAATGATCTTGCATAAATGCACGACATCTGGTTGCTGCGCAACGTAGCCCTCAGACTCGTCCATTCACCGAAGGATCACGGAGCTGGATCGTCAATGTGTACGTCATTATAGTCGGGCGATTATACGTCAATCTTTACGAGCCGCGTCAACGTCTTCTTCAACGACATCGACCACGACGACGATAAAAAAATATGCCAAACCACCCACTAGGGGATCTGAATTTACTGCCGCGAAAATTTATGAGGCATCCTCTATGCTTGCGTCGACCACGAAATCATTCGAGACTTTTTTATGTTTTAACACAACGTCCTTCAGAATTACAAATAAAACAGTATGCTGATGTTGGAGGAAAAAATACCGGTTGAGAGAATAAATGGTGAAGATCGATTCAAGTTCGAGCTGTAATTTCAGGATATGGTATCGGTTTCAAGGTAGAGAGCGTGAGAATAGGAAGCGTTGTTGAATTTAAGTTAATTAAGGCTGTTTAATTGACAATCAAGCCTGTTATAATTGCTTCCACTTTGGCTACCTGTTATTTCTGTTAAGTCTGTCATGATTGCTTCTACTTTGGTTACATGTTATTTATGTTTTAATTCATGCGAGTTTAATATCATCGTGCTAGGGAACGGTTGAAATCCTGACTCGATGCACAAATTTGCGTAGAACGCAGCTTGATAATGACGTAACGCGCAAACCATTATCATTAGCGGCTCGATTAAGCATGCTGCGCCAACGGGTCGTCTTCTTAATTATGTTCATCCTTGTACATCATTACGCATTACTTCATAAATCAACCATTCGGCCGAGGAATCCTCTTGTATTTATGCGGAGGTGCGACGTCGTTGATATTCGACGAGGGCGGGAACAAGTGTTAGGTCAGACCATGTGTAAACAGCCGTGAAAAATGTCTTTCTACACTGAACATCATCTACTGTAAACCTCGACAGATCGAAGTTACTAGAATGACGTCGAAAAATATTTCAAATTAAAGATGAAGTAATTAAAAGTTGAAAGGCCAGATCGAAGTAAAGAATTCCAAGCACCAGAACCTACCGCAACATTAAAAAATAAAGACTAAAAAAGGAATGATCTAGGATCCTAATCTAGAACAATAAAAACTGCTAACATGTAATTAAAAATCTCGTCGATAAACCATAAGCGTCCAGCAACACGATGTCTGTAATCCTCATCAGACAGTACAGAGTCTATCGTTGCATGAACATCAACCATGCCGCATCAATCAATCGGATCTTTTAACGAGCACATTTACGACGGTCATAGATCTGCTAATGGTTCACGGTAACTGTCCATATATTAGCCGGGACTATTCCATATTCCTGGTAAAAAAAAAATCGTAAATTCATCGAAGGTCAAAGTACGAGCAGTCGAAGATCGATTAACGATACGCTGAATGATCGCCTCTGGATCGCATGCCGGCGTAATGGTTCGTGTGTACGTACAAATCTCGCGTTGCCCGTGCAACACGCACGCGCCACGCGCGCGTCTCCGTCACAAAGTTTCACGGGCGTCCAGCACGCCGGTATGAATGGTTGTGTGTGGGACAATGCTCACTACCATGACCCACTGACACAAAAATAATGGAGCAACATGATATTCGTGTGACTTTCATAGTCCACGCGCTTTTTACCTGGGCCAAACGCGAAGCTTGTGCGTGTACGGGATTGCACAAGGCTTCGGTTGCAGTCTCGTCGAACACGATCACCGGTCGAAAAATCGGTTGGGAAAGAGATACCGTCTCGACGTGTATAACTCTGACGTCGACTGTATACACGCGTAAGGGCCCCACGGGGCCGTCTGTGTGTTGGTATTTGTTTACGAAGTTTCGAAATATGTTTTGAGGGAACATCGGAATTCGGTGTATTCATCGTTCCGAAAGATATAGGTATACATAAAATGTACCGCTATACTTTCACTCATTCCCAAACGGATCCTTTTTTTTCCGGGTCGTTTACAAACCGATTAATAAGGCTCTCCTTCAGGAGATTTCATCACTGACAAAAACGTCTTCGGGGAACGTGTTCCAGAAACCCAGAGACGAGCGTCGAATTCAAATCATTGAAATTCGAGTTTTTATTTGTGTAACCTTAGAGAGTCTATGTTGTGGGTAGACAGCTTTTTAAAACGACGATCTAACGCCGCGTTGTTACGGTCTTGTGAATACATTAGGGTAAAAGCGATTTGAATGCACCGGATATCCGATATGCTCATGGTGTTCTTCCTTCATGGATGGTTCAATGTCGACAAATTGTATTCTTCTGAAGTTGCCCGAGTAAATTCAATAAGTTTTGATATTCTTTAAAAAATCCCCAGTTTATTCGATACATTATTTACTCCGAAAGAATTCAATCTACTCCGATTAAACATTCTCTATTCAGTTTAACACGTTGTCCGCCACAGTGAGAAAGACCGTACTTAGTCAGACACGATTTCTTTCGTATATTAAATCATAAACCGTCGAACATATATATGTGTTCAGTTAATAGAGGCTGTTGGTCTTGTTTTAAATTATACTACGATATTAATTTTACGAAAAATTTTGTAATTAAATAATTCAGCCCTCTTTGCAATATACGTGTCACCCATATTTGATCACCATAATAGATACTATAAACTCGAAAATTCTTATATTTTTACATTTACTTAAAGTATACATATTGTTGAAAAAATGTTACAGGTTTGTCAACAAAGAAATGTCAACCTGTATACTTAGCCAGTACATAACCGTACAGCCGAACAATGTAGATATACCTAGCAGCACGACCGTCGATAATACGCGGCTTTTCACTTTGGCCTCGTTTGCACTACGTTCCGTCGTGCTATCCACAGCCTGCGGGATTTGAATTTAAAGTCATTGTCGCCTCGCTCGATTGGTATTGACGAAACCTTCGGGTGATCATCGACCTTCGGATCGATTTCAGTCTAGCCTGGCCACGGGGCTCGGTGGTGCTATCTGCCGAACCGCGAGGCTCGGCGCGAGTCATAAAAATCCGCGAATAACATTGAAATCGGGACGCATGCACATGCAATATAAAGGAAGGAGTCACCGCGGTGGGAAGTGTTTCGACACGAAAATATTTGCGAATTCAGTGTACCCGAAGCTCGTAAAATCGATCTAACCCTGACACAGATTCCGCGTGGTTCCCGAATGTGTCGCGGTCACATTTCATCCATTCCGTTGTTATCGCTAAACGACGATCGTTAAATTACATCCCGCTGTTTGCAATCTAATTTCTAAACGGTCGAATATCGCTGTCGAAAGCGTCGAGAGCGCCGCCTGGTGGTTTCGTCATATATCGTCGACCGTCGAAATTCGAGTGTCCGTACCCGCGAAAGGGAAACCACTAAGCAAGGTTCCGTTTCTTCTTCGTTACCCTTTTTTAACCGCTTTTTCGCTGTATCATCGGCGTTATTAAAATAACCACGGGAGATTCTGATGACGAGATAATATCTGAATTCCCTAACACGAACTGGCGAACACGTGCCGCGGATGTATAATCTCGAGGTTCCATGGAATTCTAGGGGTTTTGAATATTTTAGTGAAATGACCGAATTAGGTGGAAGAATATTTTCATGAAAGGAAACAGGTGTACCGTAAATTGTCCGAAACTACCAGTTCACGAGTTGAATACGTGGATTTCGGGAATATGGTCCTCTTTCTTGAAAGTTTAACGATGTCTAAATCTTTGCAACATTTATTAGGTGTACCAATAAGTGGTCCACTATTTATGTTCATAAAATGTATTGCCACCATATTGTAACTATTGTAAATTACTTATTGGTTGACCTGTTACTTATAGATCAATTAATCTATTATTAGAATATCAGGAGTAAATGTATGCATTCTCATTGAATTCGTTTGTATTTTTTTTACAGATGGCGGGGCTCCGTGTACAAGCTAATCTGGCGGGAATTGCTGGCCTACCTGTTCGTCTACTACCTCATCAATTTTACATATCGATACGCGCTCAGCGAGCACCAGCGGGTGTGAGTACATGAATACGTTCATTTGAATATCTTCCCGCGCGAAGTCAATGTCTTCGGAAGGTTAAAGCCTTAAACAGTTGGCAATAACGTACGACCGAAATGTGGGTTGTTGCCTTGGAATTAAAAACACACCAATGTGTGTACAAACATTTCTCTTAACCGACACAGTTTTCCATAAATATCCGTTGTTAAAGTATCTTTAATAAATCCAAGCATCATAGCGTAAAAACTAAGTGCTTAATAGAGTAACGATCCCTTTCACTGGAATTACAATCAGACTTTCTTACAAAATCAGTTTCCACAAAAAACTTTATATGCCATCGTTAAGCAAGATGTTGCAATTGCTGTAACAGCTCTACGAATATCCAGATAGTTATTTGTTCAGCTTTACTGTTATAGGATACTTTTACTTCCATCGTTATGTGGTTCTAAACTTCTTGATAGTAATGCACAGTATCTACCAGTGACCCTAATACAGTGGTTTTCAACCTTTTCACACCTGCGGACCGGTAAAAATATGCAGAAATAGAAAGTATTCTTTATATAGTGCTTTGCTCATCAGTTTCTAAATCTTATAGGTATTGTAAAATGAAAATTCTATATTTATTTGAAAGAACCAGAGACTGAGGAGTAATACAAAATTCTCATAATAGATTGTCTTGAACTTTTGAGAAAGCAATATTTAATTAACGAAAGTAACTTTGTGGACTGACAGGAAATTTCTGCGAACCAGCAACCGGTGAAAACAACCGCTCTAATTGATGTAGGCTGTATTAAGCTTATATGAACCCTTCCAAGAATATTCACCTATGAATTCAGCTACATAAAGAACTTTTCGTCTTCGACTGCATTCACTTTCATCGAACGCACCTATAATCCGTATAGGAAATTTCTGCGAACCAGCAACCGGTGAAAACAACCTAATTGATGTAGGCTGTATTAAGCTTATATGAACTCTTCCAAGAATATTCACCTATGAATTTAGCTACATAAAGAACTTTTCGTCTTCGACTGCATTCACTTTCATCGAACGCACCTATAATCCGTTCCAAACGTTAGAATCACCGTGTATACTCCGCGAACAATACGACCATATACATGTACCCTGTGACCATTTCACTATTCCCGATCGACGTGAGGCGAATAACTTCCTCTCAACTCGATGGAAACAATGTGACACGTTACTATCTCTTCCCCGTGGCCCTTATCTCGCGGATAACGAATTCGCCCGATGTGCCGAGGTGTGTACGGGGAGCTACCATAACTGCAGATTTTATGCCAGTCGATAAACCCACGCGACATCGACCTTGGCCAAGCAACAAAAGCTGCGTCGACCGATGTTTCCAATCGGCGATTACACCTCATCGGTTCACGTCGACGAAATTTACGGCTGCCTCGTTTTATTAGCATTAATACCGTTGCCCGTTTCGGTTCGCTTTTCCGTCGTGTTTTTTAACGATCGGCGTCTCGTTCGCCGTCGTTTCCCTCTGGCGCGCGCTTTTACGGCTCGACGGACAAACGAGGGAATTTGACCGGTTACAAAACCGCGCAGACTATTAACGGTCGGGGAATAAAAGTCAATTTAAGTAATTACGATTCGACGGGTCGATTAATTTCCGGCTGGAAAGACGGCTCGTGGGAGGCATCTCGATGGACAGAATGGTAATTGTACAATGGCGGTCCTCGATAGTGTTGAAAAGGAGAAACAGAAATACTTCAACGACGGATACTATGGATTGTGCCGAGGCTAAATCATGGATATCGTAAAGAAAATTGTTCCTCGTATTCGTAACGTTTGATTGCGGGTTTTGCACAATACGGGGCTCGGCCGACGTTAGAAAACGCATAAAAACGTAACTTGTTATTTATGCCGAGATAAAAAAAAACAGAGATAAAGAAGTCCCACGATCTGAACGATGTGGCTGCGAGAAAGAAGATCTCTCCTGCCTTTGGAGCAGCTTCGATTTGCCTGTTTCTAAATTTAGAACCACCTTAGGGCCGGTTCTGGGGTTTGGCTTAGGACCCGTACAGGGCCCGACAATCGGATGAACGATTCGCCAAACGGGAACGATGTAAAGCCTCTTTCGATCGTATATTTTAAAAGTGTTTTTCGAACGATAAATTTTGTCACACCCTTAATAGGATTTTCGGATACGAAGAAGGCGGTAGCTTTCGCGGGAAACGTTGTTCTTTTAGTTCGCGGAATTGTTGGTGGTAACGATTAGCATTCTCGCGATATTCAATATTTACAGCCGTAAAAATGAATGTAGCTTGCACGTCTTGTTTATTCGACCAGAATTTACATTCGTGCAAGAGGAAAATATTGGAGACCGAAGTTTTAACAGCAGAGTTGAATTATTCGCAACACAGGTGAGCTTGTCTTTTAACTTGTTTTCGTTATCATCGATTAGCCAAAAATAGAAAGTCAAACGGATAATACGATTTTCACGTGCAGCTGCAAAATCTTAGTGGAAATTCCCATTTGCTAATAATTACAGGTACGTAAGACCGGCAGTGGTCACGTCCAGTGACGGTATCACCTCAACCTTGCTCTACTTATAGACGAGGCGGTACAAGAACTTTACCATACCACACACGATACACTTGTAACTAAACAAATATTTAACTGCACGCGATTCGCGTAAACTTCCGATTCATTCTTCCAGCTGAATCATGTCGATATTCTGTTACTATAAGAGACAGATTCGAATATATTTTTCACGCAACATTACAGAGAACTAACAGAATTGCGAATACGAAACGTTACCTGCAATACGAACAAGTCATTAATTCTCGAAAGCCTCCAAGACCCTCCAAGGTTCAGAGGCCAAGAAAGATCCATTAGGGAGATTAGAAAATGGCAATGGGAGTCCACAGAAGGTAGCCAAAGGTGATAGAGGTGTTCCGATGAGAGTAGTCAACAATGGCAAACAATGGCCAATAAAATTCGATTAGGGTGGCTGAAGGTAACCAAGGAAATCGAGACTGTCTGATGACAGTCAGGAAACATCTACGGGGGATTTCCTTTCAGCTCAAAGACCAATTAACATTTGGTTTCTTTCTCTGTATTAAAATTCTCATTCCGTTCGCGTCAGAATGTGTTCATCGGTTATGTAAATCGATTACCGTCTGTTGCAGAATCTTCGAGAAGATCAGATACTATTTCGGGAACTCCAGCGAGTCGATACCGATGTCGTTCGTGCTGGGATTTTACGTGAGCCTCGTCGTGAAACGATGGTGGGAGCAGTACAAATTATTACCCTGGCCGGACAACCTGGCTCTCTTTATCAGCGCCGCCATTCCTGGAAACGTAAGTACGAAGATCGAAGTGTTTCCCCGAAACAGGGTTCCGCCACGGGCACCCAGACGAGCGTAATAGTGTAAGCCGTGTAACGAAATTCCCCGTATTGGAATCGCTGGACTAAACTCGCGCAGCAGGCCTTGCTCGGATGGTCGTCGTCGTCGTCGCTGCGTTTGTCTCATTACGCTAATGAATTGCCGTGACACGTTTCGGTGTCGTTAACCTAAGTAGGTGCCAGGCTCGGAGTCACGCCACGCCCAGAAGCGGGATAAAGAAGGGAAAAAAAAGAGGAACGAAACGCTCGGTGGAACGATCATCCCATAATTGGCAACCGAGCGAATCTTCTTGGTCTTCTTCTTGTGCCGGGTTAACGGGCCCAGAAGGCAGTGTGTACACCAGCCTTGCGACCCTTGGCACGCGATTTAAACTCATCGCACACACGTGTCGAAGGTGTCACGGTGCACGCCGATCCGAGAAATTGGCGTCGATTATCGTTACTTTCTCTGATCGCGTCGGGCGAACCGATAACGAAAGTTCATTTCTACCATGTATGTTCGTACGCCCGTCGAATCGTTTCGTAAGTAATTTGTTAACCTCGGGTTCAATTGACCTGTTGGGGCTGACCTATTCGATACATCGAACGGTGAATATGTAAGCATCTGTTAACGATAGATCAATTTCACTTTCGTACGATTAAGCTCTTTAATTAGACGTGATTGCTGGGTCGAATGAACTGTTTGTTTTTTGTTTAGAAAGTGTAACAAATATGGTATTCAATGACTGAATTACTACTTGAAGGATGTAAAAAGAAATAAAACCGTATCCTTGTTCGATTATGAATTAAAATAGAATAACATCCTGAATATAGATAGTATCACTATGTTGCTTCATACTTCCGAAAATCTAATACACGGTGCATTAAAACATAATTTCTTGAATATCAGATGAATATCAGAATCTTATTGTGCAACAGTTCAGTCGTTCACGTTGCCAACAGCTTCCGAGAAAATCAATCTACCGTGAACGTACAGAGTCATCCAAAGGTAAATCATTAATTACCAACGCCTTTCACCTTTCAATTACATCGCTGAACAGACCAACGAGACAGTTCCCCTAGCGATTCAAAACTACCCGTCCGTTCGTCGAAGTCCGATTCCGGTTCTGACTTCCGTAATTCGTCGAAAAGCGATCCTCCAGTCGCGTGGTCAGTGACACAATGTAGAAGTGAAAGTGCAACGTGTATATCGCAGCGAGAAAGAAGGACGAACCTACGCGTTCACGCGCACTTGCGGGCACAGGAGCGTACAACGTTCCCCAAATGATTCCTGCCGTGGCGGACCATAAACCGTCTGACTACGAACGGTACGAATCACTTGCCCCTCACATGTACACTGACGAGCAAACTCGGCTTTCGCTAGGGGTACAAGTGGCGTAGGAGAAGGGCCTTTTATCACTTGGTAAATTAATTACCAAGTTAAATTGAATGTTAATTTGGTATGAATTTCGGTGGTACGAGGTGCCAGTCACCATTTTTCCCCTAGCGGAAGCCGCATTGAGACGTCAGTGTACAATTTTCGTTGCCCTTTCTTTGGTGCATCGCGGTTAACGTTCCATAAATACCATCCCGTTCCATAAAAACGTAACTATCCACCACTCAGTTTTTCGTCTTAATAAAAGAGTCTTTCGAACTCGTTATCGCTTCCTCGCGCGACAATTCACAGCGTTCCCTGGCCGTTCTCCATTTTCCCTCTTGATCCAGCTAGTTAGTCACCCCGTACATGTAGCTCGACCGGTGAAATAATTACACGCGCAGTTCTGCGTTAACACCGGCGACGTAACTTGCATTCGAGGCTTCCGATTTTGCCTGTCCACGCGAGAAAGTCGCTCACCCGGCCGCTCGATCGTCGTATAACAATGGCCACAGCCCCACGATCCAGCCGGGGCTGCAACGGAATTTCTGCACGGGGCCCCAGGCCAACGGGCAAGGTCCCCTCCGTAGCTACGGGGAACGGGACTGTAAGTTTAATACGTAGAGAAGGAAGGCCCCGAGCCGGTCGGTCATGTAGTCACGTAACGCCAAGTATCGAATTTGTGAATGAGTCGCGTCGAGTGGGCAGCACCGAGCTTCTGGGCTCTCTGTGTATGCCTTTCATTGAAATCTAATTGGAATTCAGGCCCCGAGGCGAGAAGGATGGGACGACTCCCACCTCCCCCCCTCCCCTTGTTGAAGAGGATCTTTTTCAAGCTGCCAAGCCGTGCATTTTTACACGCGCGACGTTAAGTCGCGGCATTCCGAGGATAGAAGGGACGAGACAACGAAAAAGAGAACTCGATTCTACGAGTTACGGGGGTGGAGGTCCTCGGCCGAAAATGACGACTGGACACCACCAAACGGGTTGAAGGATATTCTATTGAATCGAGGATTATTTATTTAGCCGAGGGTTCGCAATAGGATTAGCCCAACAACACAATGGCAAAGATCCACACAGTTGCTTGAGCAGTGATGACTTATGATTCATTCCGTCTGTATAAAATTTGAAATCATTCACGGCATGTCTCGCAGATTCGAGAGTTGCATTTTACTTTCCCCTAAAGTATTCGTTCTAACACGCCCATTATATCCACACAACGACGGCGAGTTGATTACGATCCGAGAAGAAAACTGAAAAAGAGGTATGAGCTTAGAACCGGAGCAACCTTTGAGTTTATCGCGCGAGTTTTAGATACCAGGAGAGATTCATAGCGCGTAATCGCCTCGGGCAACGAATGCGAAGAACCTCTGACAAGGTGAAACTAATTAGCCTCTAATTGTGAGACATTACAGAAAAACGGCCGTGTATGGAACGTAGCCCCATTTTTTTCGCGTTTCCGAATGAACGAGGTGAAGCGAACGCGTGTCTACGCGAGGATAGACGTAAAACACGAATTTATTAATTATAAAAATACAGTCAATCGGTTGCGCGCCTATTACTCACGACGGCCATTCATGTTTCGCAACGATCGTGGAGCTCGAGGAAAGAGCAATTGAAGCGGTGAATCGTAAAACGAATGTCGGCGGTTCGCGGCAAACGATACGCCCGAGCAATTAATCAGGAATAATCGTGCAACCCATCGTTTTCAATGGGACCCAATGCGGCCTCGCGGTTTTGCGCCACGGAAACTTTCTTCCTCTTCAGATCGGCCAGGCAGATCGTTCCGAATCGGCACGTGAGGATCGCGTAACGTTCACCGTGTCCACGTGTTATTAGCCCGCCTGAAAATTTTAGTTCCGGCAAAACTTTCTTCGGGCTGTTGCATGCGTTATATCGGCGCGGACGAGACGTGCCTCGATCCACAAAATACTTCATCCACAGCCACATATATCGTGCTCCCCATACGTAACGATTCGCCTTGAACCAGACGTTCAATTAGACTACTAATGACCGAATTTTCCCAATCGCGACCACGATTGGTAACAATGTTACAAGAGGAAAATTCGTGTTACGATAAGGTGTACGTTGGTCGTGAATTTTGCGTGGAAATTTTTGATACGGGAATTAGTCACCGACCGTTTCCGATCGAATTGTCATTCTGGCGAGCGAGCAGGATCGTTCACCGCGGCGGCGGTGATTACAAAACGACCGCTCGGTTACAAAATGCTGCACGTCGATGGCCAGGAACGAAAGGAAAAATAGCCGGCAGGCGCCACCACGGGTTTTTCACCGATTAGCGGTAGTACGGTCTCGAAACCGGCAACGATTCGCGACCACGGGCCAAAAGAACAAGGGGAAAGTGTATACAGGACAGGGGAAACGTGTCCGGCATTCGTGGAGGCCTAGGAAACGAATTTTTTTTTCGTGGCGAACACGTCTCGTCGATATCTATCACGACCGATTCCTGGTTTATTTTTTTAATGTGTTCGTATTAGTATTGCGGTATCTTTCGATCGAGACGCCTAGTCGGTCTGAGAGACGCAGTCTGATAGAAACGAACGGAAAACACTTGCGAACCAGATGATGTTTTAGAAGGAAATGTCGCAACTTTTGTGAATATAGATATGAGAACGTCAGCTAATACGATTTTACGGTTTAATCTACGGAATACAACATTCAAGATATTTGATCATATAATCAGGTGTCTGGAAACCTTCCAGTCTCTGGTCTTCATTTCAATTTGAATTATTGCTACGCCATACGTGTGCTAGGGAGTGAATCAAGTATGATTAAATGTGCTTAACGATCTCTGGATAATTCTATCGTGAGATCATCCCGTAAAATCATAATCAAGGAAAGACACCGAAACCATTAACCTCATACAACACCAATGTTTCTTTTTCGAAATGCTTCATTGCTGGTCTATGATAGATTATCAATTTCCCAGTGAAGGGGGCTAAGCTATAGAGAACCATTATCTAAGTAAAAAGGTTTAGGTTTACTGGTAAGGCTACCCAAATCATTAATCATTCCCTAAACTTGGGGTTATTCGAAGTTAGAGCGGTACTTATGAGAATGAGGATATACGGAAATTACTCTGCTGACAAGAGCAAAAAATGCAGTGGCTTAGGGTTCTGCTAAATACAGAAAAATTACAGTTACGATCAAAAAATTACGAAACATCTATTATTAGCTTGAATCGAATAAAATGCTTTCTATTACAATGAACGTACAAAGTTATCGTAGTTTAGAAGCCTTCAAACGAAAGTCATTAGTATGATTTACAGAATCGCGCATTGAATCCATTAACGAAGAAACTGCATCGACGTGTTCCCCCTGTGAATGCATTTTTTTAATTGCGTGCGATTGTTGGAAGCCACGAGGTGCGTTCTGAGCCAGTTGCATCCCGTGGCGTCGTAGCATGGTTATTAAAGTGATAATTTTGTAACGTTTTCACATTGCAGGACGAGAGAGGGAGGCTGATGAGGAGAAACATCGTGAGGTACGCTGTGCTCGCGTACGTCATCACGCTGCAGAGGATTTCGTTACGCGTTAAAAGGCGATTTCCGACGCTTCAGCACATCGTAGACGTTGGTCAGTGAGTTACATTCACTTTATTACATTCGCTCATTTCTCCTTTATGATCGTGCAAAAAGCGACCGACGTTAACGCACACTCTCCCTCGCGACTGAAATCGGGGCTATTTATGGAACCGCGCGTGGCTAACGATGCATCAAAATAATACAAAAACATATACTGTATGTATCTCTTAACTACAGACCACACTCATCTCAGAGACCAGATTCAATTTTGATTTCACTGTCACAGCACAGTGGAGAATTTTCGAAGCTCGAAGCTAGCTGTTTCCATCACGGAAATGAAAAATAACATTCAATTTATTAAAAGTATTGCGAAATAGTCGTTGTTGGATTATTTTTTTGTGTGGCAAGTCGTACGTAGTTATGGGATATCAATGTTTTGATAACATTTACACTACCTGTGACGATCAACAAACAAGGTGCAAAAAAATTGATCAAGATGGATGAATTGCAATCCTGAAATGATTAAACGTTCACAATAGTCTCATCAAGACGACGTTTTGATGCAAAATGTAATGTGGAAGTAAATGTACGATTGGCAACGTTCGTCGAGCTTCCGCGCCGATTATTGGCTTCTTCAAGGACGTGTACCCAATTAACACACACGCCGGAACCTACACAATTAACTTCCTCTTATGGTAACAAGGACGATTCAGCGACAGATGAGCATGAATTCATTCCAAACCGAGATATATGGCAAGATTTTTGGTATTCCTTGTAGAATTACAATTACCTTTCAATAGGCGATTTATATGTGTGCATTGTAATGTAAGCAGCGTGTTGCTCGCACGTCGGAACCGTTATTTAATCGACATTGAGACATACGTATCGAATATAACCTTCAAATGGTTTGTGGATGTTTGTAACAGGCCCAAAATGAAAGTTCTATTTACATGTGTCTCTTGAACTCTTTGCCAATATTTTACAAATTTTTACACGCGAGCTGCAACATTTTTTAAAGAAGCTCAAACACTCTGGTATTCTTATCATCTATAAGTCAATTTAATAATTTTTCTTACCGTGACCCGCATCCATCGTTGCCTGATAAATATCGTCCTCGGAAAAACACGTCATCAACCGTTGAAACCTTCGCGAATCCACAACACAAAGTTCAATCACACTGCACTTCCTGTACACTACGATAGCGACTCGACTATTACGACACTGCCACGATTTTTGCAATTTACTGTCAGATATATAGCGTGAGAAACAAAACGTATGAAGTAATTTGTGTGCCATTTAAATCAAACAATGTAAGTAACCGTTACGACAGTACGTTAAGCAACTATGTAAGTAAAAGTTGTGCAACAATTAGGTTCTATATATTGACCACTAACAACTGCTATTATTGTAACTATAAAGTTAGCTGTTATTGTTAAATTATTCCTTTTGACGTAATTATTAGTTAAAACCAATAAAAATGAACGAATAACAAAGTGTTATACTGCACTATCTTGGCGTCTATGGGCGTGTGCACTCAGATTCTCGTCAATTATGTAGATAAAGAGTGCACTACTACGAATTACTCATTCTTTCGAGAATACATACCAACGGAAAGTAAATCACAGTAAATGGAGGGTCTTGTTGTTGTATTAACAGCAAAAATCGTGACAAAATGCGGACCGGGTAACGCGCCGTGTTCCTTCCGAGATTCGCGCGCCATATTAAAGCTGCGCGCGCAGATAGCTGCTTGCTAAACAATATGGCGGCGTTTTCGAATTCATACATTCAAATCAGTCTATAAAACAATCTTCATTATATGCATATTATAGCCACAGAATACTTTGTTTCATATAGCGATTCTAATTACTTACTTTATTCAATTATTACCACGTACATTATGTACTTTATTTCATCGTACGTACATAATATGCAATATTAAAACAGATTCACCTGAAAACAGTACAGTTTAGTACAGCTTCTGTGTTATCCGTAATATAATCAGACGTAAAGAAAGTAAAGACAAAATAAAGTCGGCCGTTGCATAAACACTTGTCGTGTTTCGACACAAGAATAGTCATTCAGGAAAATTTATAAGAACCCATGAAAAATTCTACAGCAAAATCTCAATGCATCAGCGTCTAGACATAAATATCAACCCGAGTAACCTTACGGTATCTACCGACCAGGTGAAAGAAGCCGTTCCCGGGATACTAAAAAGAAAAACTACAAACCCTGCGGTTTTTTGTTAATCGGCGGCGGCGAGAATGCGCCTGTCGACTAGAAATAGCACAGATTTTTCCGGCCCGTGTTCCGCGAATCTTCCATGAACATGAGTCTGGGCCTCGTCGTTCCCCTTCGGCGGGAAATAAGTGACGAGAGCCACCGCAAGAAACGATCCTTCCGTGGAATTATCTCCGCGGCCACGTGAACAGGTACGGCGTCACGCACGCGAAAGAAACGCAAGCCGGCGCGAAAGAACTTGGCGAAGACGATCCAAATCGGTTCTGCGACCGCCACTGGAAACGAGTCTCGTCCCCATCGATAAAAGCCCCTCGATTCGTGGCGCGAGATCACCATCAATAATTCATACAGCGCGAATGCGTCGCGTCCCCCCCCCCCCCCCCCCCCATGACATCGAAGAACGTGTGCCGGTCGGTAACACTTAAGACGCGATTACGGTTTCGCTGTTACGTTCTCCCGAAGGATTACGCCGATATTTATGATCGTGCACAAAAAACACGACACCCTACCATGATCTTGAGAAAGGAGGAAGTCGAAGGCCTCGCGTTTCGTGCCATTCGATTCGCTTGTTTATGTACCTAGAAACGCAACCTTTCGCTTGCTCTTTTTGGTCTTGATTATGTTAATTCTGTTATGACGTCGAACAGTTTTTTCGTTCCTTTGATTCTGTCGGACAAATAGAGTGTTTTGGAAAATTTTCGGTTATTCCGTATCCTGGACAGTTTCTACCTCCAGTCGAAGGTAAAAAAATATTTTCATAAAATGTGATACCGGACGACTTTAGTTGTCTAGTTCCTGTGCGATACGATCTATCTAGGAAACGGACAGTTTTATGACATTCTATTTATAGCGTTCGGTGATGTTTACCGAAGTATTTCGTGCCAATCGTAGCCACGTTCTTCTGAAACAAGTATTCTTCGTGTAACAGTACGACAGTTGTACACAGTAAATTTTCGAGGTACTCAAATTCCGAACGATTCTATTTACGTTGCATCGCGATGTAACCGTTATGGTCATTGACATTCGTGGAACTTTGCGAAAGACATGGATGCAAATCGCCGTTGACACAAAATCCCCGTCACAAGCGACGAAAACTAATTTCCGCGGAGTCGCCCATTCTGCTTGGTAGCTTACCAGCGACTCCGGCTGCTGTCGAAAATCGCAAGCAATCGCCTTGACAGGCATTGGTTCCGGTAAAAAGTATTTAATTTTAGAATATTACGCTCCCGGCTATGGTAGATAAACGAAAGCGTATTCCCCGTGTCAAAGTAGGCGTGAGCAACCATTAAAACATGGCAGTTGGAATTCGTTTTAAAGTGGGAGACATATGCGCGCGTTTCCGCGAACGCTCGACACCTAGAGGCGAGCGCAGTCCGTCGTGGAGAGATTTTCTAATGTTATCTCGAATTATCAAAGCGTATCCATGCCGCAAGGAATCGCGATCTGGAACTTCTACGATTCGCCACGAAAGAATTCTCGAGAGCTGGGTCGTCGTCGGTCGGCAGTAAATCGAACGCGTTCCCCAGCGCCGCCGCCAGGCAATTTTCACGTGCGTCCGGGTAATTTTCAACCTGTGGCGCGTCGAGAGCCGCTTAGAAACGCGGAGCGCCGGCGCCAGTTCCTCATCCTTTTCCTTTTCTTTCGCTGCCGTGGTCATCGTTTTGCTCGCGGAGGGTACGCCGCGGACCGGACCCTCGGCCATGCAGTTTACCATCTATTCCCGGAGCCGAGGCGAGTCCGGGACGTTACCAACAAGCTTCTTCTTCTGACTACCTGCTGCTGGTCGTCGTCGTGATGCTCCTAGTTGTCGTCGCTGCTTTTTTCTTTCTGTCCGCGAGCCGATCTCTCTCTCCTTCCTCTCTCTGCGAACGGGTACAGAAGATATATATAGAAATAACCCAATGGTAATTATAGTACATCGCCGGTACCGATACCGTGCCATTTGATAAGATAATCACGGGGACTGTCTTTGGCGTCCACGCCAGTCCCCCCGGCGAGGCACTGTTTCCATCGTCGATTTCATTCCCGACATCGCGATCTCTCGTCGTTGCCATTGATTTTCACCGTTAGCACGGCGCCACCGGTTTCTTCATCGTCTGCCGTCCCGACCTCAGTCAAAAGAGACCGATCCTCGCCTCCATTCTCGAACGTTCACCGGTTTATCACCCATGCGTTATTAGCGATGGACATTTAGTCGATAAATATAGGGGAGGGTCGCTGAATTAGGACCATCGCCTAGGTTAGGCCACTAGTTTAATTTGTCATGAATAAGCACTTTGGGCCTTACGGTCCAATAATAAGCCATTAACTAACTGATCATCTACAAGCAACATACGGTCCATCATACGGTCCAACTTGCTGATACACAAGTTACAGTACTGGTCCAAATTCCGCAACCTTCTCGTATAATATATGTTAATATCGCTACGTGACGTGGAAACTATTCTATTTGGTGGTAGATAGATCTATTCATTGGTTTTGTTTTTATTAAAAACCATCTTTCCGCCCCGTTGCTCTTCGAACCGCTACAGTCGAGGGATTCCGCAGAGGACTTTGGAAAGCAAATGATCCAACGGATTCAGACCAAGATCTAGATACAACTCTGATGAGTGCCTATAGGACAGCCCGTGTAGGACACGAATATAGACGATGTTAAATATAGCCAGACGTAATGAGAGCCATAATCTATCTCCGGCTGCAGGTGGTAATTGGCTAGACTAGCGGGTATCAAACGTAAGCAACGATAGACACGAGCTTCGCGTTTGCCAGCTGGCTAGTCATCATCGTCATTATCCTCAAGATCGTCGTCGT